TGAGCATGTTAGCATGCTGACATCAGCATTTAACTGAAAGCACTATTGTGCCAGAACCGCTAGGGTGGCCGTAGCCTCGTAGTCTTGTTTGTATATTGTTTGTATTTTAAACAGTGTTTTTTTTTTCTTATTGCAGAGCTCTATAAATTCTGTAACAAGTTGGACATCTTTACCAGCACCAAAACCCTGTCAAATGTCCGACCATCTGCTGCGGCGGATGTTTAGGATAACAGCTGATGCGAGAATTTGCCTGCAGAGGATTGATGAAGCCCCAAGCTGGTTGAAAGAGAAAGAACTTTTTTTACAGGACGTTTACAGTCTGCAAGAAACTGACAGCGACAAGTTAGGTCTCAATAATGTCAGACGATGGAAAGTGCTGACTGGACAGGAAGTGTCAGCAGACCCTCACACACATACTGGACCTCTCAAATGCTCACACTTTAAACTAAACACAAAACCTCTGTCTGCTTTGAAATGCCATTCAGGCCAGAATTCACTCAAGGGAACGTCACATGATGTTGAAACTGAGCTAGTGATTGGCTACGTGGAACCCATAGACGAGGATTTCCTCAGCACAGACGAAAACGTCATCCCCAGCTCACAGGACACAGACGCTCGGCCACAGACTGCGACTTGTGTGGATCTGAACACGAACACAAGAAGGGTGGGAAGAACAAGGAAGCGCACAATGTGTCCATGTTGCATCCCCGGTACTCAATATCCTGCAGTGAAGTCCAGCACCAAGTCAATAGAGCCAGAAAAGTGGGCACGGACGACAGAGCAGACGAGTAGAAAAGGCGGAAAGCAAGAGAGAAGAGCTTCTGATGGAGGGAGAGGCAGCTTTAGAACTGATGAGACACAGCAAAGATAATAAGAAAATCCAATATTTCAGACTTTAATATTCTAACATAGATTTTGTTACAAAGGTAATGGATTTATTTTAGTATCTAAACTGTCATTGCTACTATTTATGTTATTAGAATTAACAAGGACTAACACAAGTGCTGGCTGGAATATGAATGACTCTAGTTTCACAGAGCTTGAATTGAAATTCAGTTATCTGAATTGTCGGTGTAAAAAATGTTTTATCTTAAATATGATTTTGACAGGTCTCATTTGATTGGATTATTGAAGTCAACTTAAGTTGTATAAAGTTGCATTTTTCAGTCTCCCTTGTGTTTTTGTGAAAAATTTGTATCGATCATGCTGTAAAAACAAAATGAAACAGACATTGAACCAATACCAATTTTCCTTCCTATCATTGGTACCTTGTTACCAGTATGGATGTTAAATTGCATTCATAATGGTCTTACAAAGTCTTAAGAGCCGAGAAAGATATAAAGACACTTTGGGTTGAAGGCTTGAAGATAGTTGATTGTTGAGTCTCATTCCCAGGGTCCCATAGCGTCAGTATTTGATGACCTGGGAATGAGCTCAACAAACAACTATCTTTCTCGGCTCTGATTGGTTGTTTTCATTCAGGCTTAATGGATTATGTAAATAGCATTAGGAGCACTAGGATGAGCCAGAGGAACCTGATCAATTCACAGATGGCCTATCTCATGTACTACTGTCAGGATATAGTGAAGGTTTTAACAAATATGACAAAAAAATAATTAATAAAAATGACCTACTGCAGCTTTAATTTAAAAAAAAATCTTATCTTAGGTAAAATATTATATGGACTGTGAGGCTCTCCAAATAACAGGGAGAGTAGGCAGAATATTCATTATACTCCCAAAAGGACACACCACCACAGCCAGGTTTCCCACTGTGAAACTAGAAGGCCGCTGTCTTCTGCCTTAAAGGTTACTTCGATTGAAAATCTTTAAGAAGCAGCACTTCGAACCTGTCTGACTGCAAGCTCCATCTCAGGCCACCAAACAATACCACTAAAACAAGTGCTTGGTTGTGTGACAAAAAAAAAAAATCTGCATAGTTGTTTGTTTGTTTGTTTTTTATTGCCAATAAAATAAATTTTAACTTTTTTAATTAGAAAAAAATCTATTTTTATTCTAAATTACCTTTGGCTCTGATGCACTCTGTAGTCTCGCTCAGTGTCCCGCCCACAGTACTACCTGATTGGTTACACATCACAAGTACAGTAATAATGTTTTTTAAGATAATGTTGAAAAGTTGTCTTTGCAGCATTTAATTAAACATATGCTACTACAGATCTTTTACTTAAGTAAAAGAAGCAATACCACAGTGTAAAAATACGTGAAATGAATGAATAAGTGAAAAGTACAAAAGTATTAGCATCAAAATATACTTAAAGTAAAGTAAAAGTCTTTAAAGCTACTGAGAAAACAGTCCAGATGGTGGCAACAAAAAGCTGTTTGCTAGCTGCCATGAAACAGCTCTTAAGCTTTTTGTGTTTTTAGTTTGTCTGTTTTTAAATAAAAGAATATCAAACAAAGCAAAATGATAATTCCTAGTGGCCATATAACAGATTTAAGGGAAATGGTTTTGGATGGAAGATAAAATCAGAAGAATATGACATTAAAGAGACTAGTTTTAACTCCCCAATAATGAGTGTTCCCCCATGGCTTTTTCCCAGGGCTAAAGTTGATTTAGTATCATGGAGCTAAAGAAACGTTGGGTGGAAAGTGAAATAGGATGGCTCAAAAGATCCAAATGATCATATAGGAACAGGAGTATATATCCCACGATTCCACATTCATTTTGGGAATAAATGATCGATTTATACAGCTGAGATGATGGCAGGGATTGTTGGTCTGGGAGAGTGGAAGAGATGAGACCAGACAGGGTGGTGCTGTGTATTGACTCTGCAGCAGTACTTTACAGTTTTAGAGATTTTTTTTTTTTTTTAATGGATTGCCAAAATTGATATAAATAAGAAAAGGAAAAGATAAGTTGTAGGCAAATAAAGATGAATGGAGAGTTCTTCAACTGAAAATGAGGAGAAAATAAAACGTATATTGTGATGAGAGGACTTTTAATATGAAGAACACAGGTCTACTGTTTCGATCTTCACAGAAAGAAAATTAGTGCTTCTTCAGGCCTTCAGAATAAAAGTGGACAATTCTATTTTTTACAAATAGTTGAAATCATGCAGTTACAAGGCAGGGGCTTGCAAATTAAATATCCAATTGCCATACCCACTAAATAATCGCGTATAGTTCCAGAAAATAATAAAAGTGTTATGCCATACTTCCCTTTTTATCTGCTGTGGCTGCAAGCAGCAGTCAGAGGTGTCTAGTGGAGGGAGCTAGCAGAAGGGTGTAGTTACACTGTAACACTGTCCGCTTTGATTGTGAATGAACAGCCTTTATGCGCCATTGTACACCTCCTGACCTGTGCCTGACATAACATTAATAAATAATCTGTGGTGGTTAAGGAAAAAAAGCGCATTCCCTTAAAGTCAGTCAGCTACTGTCCAACATTTTGAGATTAAAATAATGCACAAGTAGTGACACTTTGAAGATAAAGAACATGGGTGACTATAACATAACATAAGATCCCATGTAACGCTCTTATTCTGAAGAGCACGGCCCGGAAGCACTGTTTGCTTTGCATTGAAATGAAACTGCAACTGAACAGTGGGGCTCTTTACAGCTGGCGGATGTTTCATCAAGGTATGAGCAGCAACATTTGGCCTTTTGATCAAAGTATGACTGGTATTGTTTGGGTCGATTGTTTGACATCATG